AAATTGATATATTTGTCTCATAAAGACAATCTGAAATATCTTCTAGAAAGTATTTTCACTTGTAATGTCTTCCAAAATACAGACTATGAAAACAAATCAATCCAATGTGCCTGTGTAACACTCTGTTGCCTTCTCTTCCAGTTTTAAAACCATGCGCTAGTAACGTTTATCTTTACTTTTGGATCTTTTTTAAAGAAAGTTGAAAAACTTCAGTGTACACAGAAACAGAATTAACTGATCTTAACTCTGATGGGCATCTCTGCTCAATCTTTAGGTTAATATATGTAGTATTTATTTATTTGAGGTCAAACTCAGGACCTTGTGCTTGCAAGGCAGGTGGCAGCGCCACTGAGCTAAATCCCTGTCCCTGTATGTAATATTTATAGTTGGTAATATATTATCCCAGAACATTCTAGGAAACAAAGATTTTAGAGGGGAAAGGGAACACAAACGTTTCTCAAAATCTGTAAGGTTTAGTGAGGACAGTGGTTGCACAGGCAGGATGACGAAGTTTGCATTCTGCTAAGGAAACGAGAACAATAATTCTAAAACAGCTCACCATGTATATTAGTGGAGCAGGTATCCACTTAAAAGGTCATAGGAAGAAAAGAAAAAAATAAAGTCTGTTCAGCACTGCTGTCTATTCAATTATTTTTTTTACAGTGAGGCCTCTTAAAATCATGGGCAGTGTGTATGGGTTTGACCAGAAATGTAAACGGAAGACAAACAACCCTGAATGCAATATGCCGGGATGGCAACACAGGCCACCCATGACCAACGGACTCTCTTGGTTCTCCAATGATGCAAACCATAACACTGGGTGAAGAGGATCTTGGAAGCACGAGGCATGGAGGACTTCTCATCTAGGGTATATTAAAACCTAGAGTAGAGGTGTGGCTGATTTTGTAAAAAGGGGATCACAAAATTAAGGTACTGCATTTTTCCTTCTTCCAGAATAAAGAATCACACTTTCATAAAGTTGAAAAGTGTCACAGTAGTGAAGTTTCAAAGAAGCACTGTCTGTGGCGTATGACAGATCCAGGGTCACTTCTTTGGCCTTAGTAAAGTACACCTCCTGGTGACATATCATGCAAAGTCCTCCAAAGCAATCTGGACCAAAGGTGGAAGTCTCTCCTGAAGACCAAGCAAGCCTTATAGCAATCATACTGTGCTAACCAATTGTTTTCCTATTCAAAGAAGTGAGGATGTCATTTTCTCTAAATAGTGGAAGTTTTATAAGCTTGCTGAAATCTGTATTTTTTGGCTTTTGCCTGAAAGAAGACAGCAGATCCTTACCTTTTATTACACAATAGAATTAAGAATCCAACTCCTCCACCTTCAGCATTTATAGTCTCATCAAGTCATGGTGACCTTTCAGTGTAAATTCACATAATTCATGGCCGTTTTCTTTCCAATTATCTCATTGAAAACAATGTTTCTTTCACGACAAAGGGCTTTAGCATTTTCCCTTGTAATTTTGAAAATACTAATTTTCTTTATTAAGTGATAAATATAGTTTGATGCTTGACACTGTTCAAACAAACTGAGTGCATTCTGGTAAGTTAGCTTTCTTTTTAATCATCACTAGCTTAAAATTCAGCAGGAATTAATTCCCTCCTATGACTTAATATGGATTGCTAGGTCAAAAACAAGCTACCCATAGTATATCTACACAAGTGCGGTTTTATTAAGTGAGGAGGGAGGCAATTAAACGAGGTAATTTGGGCCTGAGCAGACAAAAGCAGGGAGTAAGTATGTGGAATCTGAATGGGAAATAGGAGAAAGGAAAGAAGGCAAAGGGGCTAGAAACTGAGGTGATCAAGGAAAGAAAACCTGCACATCAGCCTCTCCTCCAAAGTTCTACAGAGCTACACCCGGATTGGGATTAAAGTTGAAATATGACCCACTGATAGCATAAAATGCAGCTTTCAAGGAAAACTAAATGTAGATCCCACCTAAGCAGATAATGTATGTGAAAGTGCTACTGTACTTTCAAGGATTACATAAGCACTTGCTAGTTATTTCTATTGTTCCTTTGAAACCAACCAGAAATCAAAACCAAAGTTATGCAGGTTTCACTAAGTACTCAGTGAGAACTGTCTAAGGACAGGGACTGTAAGCAGGGTTTCACCATCACAGCACTATGCCTTTCTCTTTGCTGTGGGAGGCTGGCCCGTGAGCACGCAGGATGTTCCCGCCATCCTTAGCCTTTACCCACTGGGGGCTGTGAAATCCCCTCACCCTGCCCTGGCCAAGAAGTGACAATAACCAATGTCACCAAACACTGCCAGACATAGCCAGTTGCCCTTTGGCTGGGGACCGCTGCTTTAAAGCATAGGAGACATCTCGAAATGGTACGTATGGCTCTCTCACACAAACTGAAGACAAGAGCTGGCTAAGAGCAAAGTGGAGATGTCCACAGCAGCCACGGGCCACATGTGCCTACTCGGCCCTTCACATGTGGGGCCAGGCAGAGCTGAGATTTGCCACAAGTGTAAGACATGCGGCAGACTTGTAAGACTTAGCAGGAAAAAGAGAAGGCAAAACATTTCAATACTTCATATTGAAACACTAAAATGGCGTTCTGGATATAGCAGGCTTGAATAAAATACGTTATTAAAATTAACTTCATCTTTTTCTTTTTAAAAATGTAGCTACTAGAAAAGTTCAGATTACTTATGTGGCCTGTGTTAGAGGTCTGCTCAACAGGGCTGAACTCACACAAGGACTCATTCCTCCCTTGTGCTCTCTCCTCCAGACAGCCTTTGATGAGGAAAGGGAGCTCGAGAGCTCTGTCTTCAGTTTTCCCTTCACATTTTCTGTGTTCTCCTCGGCCGCTCTCCAGTCTTGCTCTTAGGAGACCAATCTCCCAACTGCACCTCCAGGCCAAAATGCTACTAAAGCCTACGCCTATCTACCCACCCACCAACAACCCCACTCCACTTGGACATCCTAGCAGAACCCCAACATTTTTTGTCTTCAATGCCACAATCTCAGAGTATGTATAGTTTTACCATTTATACAGAGCTAAAAACAAATATGAATAAATGTACTTCTAAAGTAAGTCATTCTCCGTAGCACAAGTATAAGGTAAATAATGACACCTTCTCTCAGTCGCCTTTCATTAGGGAGCCTCGAGCCACCCTCCTGTCTACATCAGCCTTCATTTCCCAGGACAGTGATGGTGAACCTGTGGCCCGTGTGCCACTGTGGGCTGTCTGCTCTCACTGAAACCTCTAAGGTTCGCCATCACTGCCCTAGTCCATCACTCATTTAAAACAGGGTTGAGATAAAGCACAGCAGTGTTTATACTAACTAGTAAGTTATAGCTGCTATTTTGGAAGTTTCAAAATAGCCAAGATTTTGACAAATGTTGGTAGTACTTAATGTATTCCAGATCTACACCAAGGAGGAGGAACTTGCAGAAGACTTGTGGCAATCTGTGTACTCAGAGAAGAACATGGAGACACAAAAGGCAAAAACTAGACCCATGTTTGCATCCATCATTTACTCACTGGCTCTCCCGTGAGGGGACCTGGAAATGAATGACAGGGACCAGGGAGGCGAAGGACAGCACGCCAGAGCCAGGGTGAACTGCGTGGCCAAGAACACTATGGAGACCTACCAGGTGTGACTGTTTTTTTTAAATACATAATTGTCTCATCTGGAAATTATATAAAAAACATTTTTTGATAAAAAGTTTTAATTTTAGTCTATTAGTACATACATGTAGTATGTAACATTTACATTCCTTGTGGGACATTGGTACATGTATAAAAAAATCATTTTTTATAGGATGAAAAAGGGAGGCTGAGCTTCTATGACCAAAGAAATGTTAGGAAACAAAATTTTTGTTCTCTTCATTTACGGCCCAATAAAGAAAACAAGGGGAATTACCAGGTACCTGCTATTCTACCAAATAGGATAAAAGGATTCAGTGCAGAAGTGGCTTTTCTGGACTAGATGCCGTTTCAAGAAACGACTCAAAGAACTGTGAGAAATTTATCAAAGGCCCTTTTTCCTTTGAATGTTTCCTGGTGAATCTTTTCTATAACAAAGTTCAGTGTCTCATTTTTGCTAATGTGGCATAACAAGGCAGAATAGAAGACTTAGAAAAAACAAATAGAACACTGACCCCTACTCATGCCCCTCAATCTTCATATGACTGGCCAGTCACCCATGTTGAAACCATTCATCTTCAGCTGAGGTACATCTCCTCAGAGGGACCAAATTTCGGTGTGGTGGGGAAATCTTGTGATATTAAAATTTTCATGGGGGAGGTGAGAATAGGAGGGGAAAAAATGTCCAAAAAGCTTTTTCAGGGAGACAATAATAAATAGGCTGCTGGGTGTGGTGGCACTCGCCTATAATCCCAGCGTTTGGGAGGCAGAGGCAGGAGGATCACTTCGAGTTCATGGCTAGCCTGGGCAACATAGTGAGTTCGGGGCCAGCCTGAACTACAAAGCAAGACCCTGTATCCAAAAAAACCCCCCCAAAAAACCCAAAAATAGAAATTTTTAAAAAGTAAAAGGAGATAAACAAAAGGCTGGGCATGCTTTTCCTAGCCTTCCTTTTTTCAACTACATGGCTTGGTATCAACTATCTTAAAGGGTTATTAAAACTATATCTGAATAAATACAGGAAGCATGATAACAGAAATGAAGCAGGTAGGGAAAATAACCAAAACTATACAATAGTGGGTGGGGCATTAGTTCAGTGGTGCTGTCACCTGCCTCTCAAGTGCAAGGTCCCAAGTTCAATCCCTAGTACCAAAAAAAAAATCACTATACAAATAGTAGTTAATATATACTTAACAAAAAGACTTAAACACATATAGACTAATATCACTGAATGATCAATTGTATTCATAGGACAATTTTCTTCTCACTGGTTATTTTATTCACTGAATACCTAATATCTATCCAAAGAGAAAACAAAGGCATAGTAAAAGTCAAGCAGTCACAAATGCAAGAATCTATAAATATGGCAAAAATACAAACCTAAAACACCGATTTCGAGACCTGCCAGGCCCGTCTTAATTTTATCATAAATATCTTCTGATGTAAAGTCAACAGCAATGGTCCTCGTCTCCACTTTGAATTTTTCTCCTGGGGAGGGAATAAAGTTCAAAAAATTAACACACGGCAATTAGGACTAAAGCATTAGATAACATCATCCTTTCAAACCCTCTTTTTCCCTCCCAATTTGATATGACATTTACACCAGGATAATTTTAGGCAATCATGAGACCATCTACTACACAGTCGACACAATAGTTCAGCAATTAAAAATCCCAATGTCGTCACAGGGCTAGCTTAATGTTCCTTAATCAGTTCTCCCTTTATAAATCAATAATGATAACTGCTTTTCAGACCCCGAGGAATGAAGCATGATTCATATCATGATGCTATATACTCTTCAAGTTATCACTGGCTTTGAGCTTTTAATTGCAAATTGATGTTTCGTAACTTCAGGAAGAGGTCTTTATGTAAAATAGCTTGAAGTATGACATTAAAATAAGTCCATTTTCTGAAGACAGAAAGAAATGACTGATTTTACTGTAATTCTGAAGGAGCATGGTTAATAATTAACAGTCACTACATTTAAAAGTCCACACAAAATGCACACAGCAATAAATCTATAAAGCGACTCAAGAAGGACCTCAGCACGCTTCCGTGCACAGGACTTTTAAGGTCCAAACAGAGCTGATGGAAGCAAGAACCTCAGCAATGAGACTCTGGAGAAAGAAAGCTTGTCTGAGCTAACAGAATATTGACTTCTGCTCTCACCAGTCGGACCCTTTGCAGAGCTGGTATGAGCTCTGAGGTCACCCAGGCATGGGTGACAATCTCGTTTTCACATTTATTTGCAAAACAACTCAGAGCAAGTCAAAAGTCCTCTCTGAGCCTACCAACAGGAGGTGGGGTCATGGGCGCTTGCAGCACTGGGAGACCCTGTCAGCGCTCCTCCTTTACCATCTGGCCAGGACTTCGCTCAGAGAAATGCAGTAAACTAAGAGAACTATTCTTTAGAACTTGCTGAGAAGTCAAAATAATTAATTTTAAAATCCTACTACTAAAAATAAATCTTCCACCAAAGTGAATGTCAGCTCATCACTGAGTTCTTAGGATTAATCCTCAGAGCAAGTATCCATTCTTGATCTGAAAGGATTTACATTTAAAATTAAAGAGCCGGTTCATGAAAGATGGGGTTCTCAGACTGACTCCATGAAAAGTACTGACCCTAGGTACAAATCCATGCATAAACTGGACAGAAGAAAAACTGGCCAAGAAAATCCTTACTTGGTGTTAAAGGTATGCTTACTGTCACAATATAAATGAGTCACAGCAGCTGGTCCAACTTATCTTACTACAGAATTTACCATCAGCAAGTAAAAAAACACTGACTTTATTATCATCCCACATTCACATGGAAGAAAAAAAGCCCAAGTTCAAAAGATTGAGTGCAGCCAGGGATTTTGCTCAGTGGTTCCGCCACCTGCCTCAGAAGTGCAAGGTCCAGAGTTCAATCCCCAGTACCATCAAAAGGCTGAAAGATCCCTCCTCTTTTATATAAAACCTTATTCAAAAACAAAAGAAGACAAACTTAGCAATTTATTTTGAAAAGCAAAGGAATTTTTTTTCTACACCAGCACTATGTACTAACACTTAGGAAAATCTTACCACCTCACAACCCCTGAATCATATCACTCTTTTACACCTCATGGGATTGGATGAATGCACATACATTAGTACATTATTATAGAGTCTTGTGTAGCTTTGCTACTAAAAACAACTCAATGACATTTTTCAAAAGAATGTTTAAAAATGAACCTCCATGGAAGCTTCTTTTTTTTTTTTTGGTAAGCCTTGAAGAGTTTTATTAAACATGAGAAATATAACATATTAGAGACTATGTAATGGTCTTCTGTTGTCCACCAACTGTTTTTATGACAAGCCAGATTTGGAATGACTGAAAATGATTCTTTAGTTCCAGAATTGGTATACCCTGTGGGAGATTTACAGGGGATCTTGCTATCGAGTCAGAATGTCTTCTGTGTGATCTTGATTTTTGTTCCTGAGCTAGTCTGCTTTTGAGGTGAACCTGACTATGATTTTCCTACTGACTTGGACCTTTTTTGGTGAGGATTTGGACCTTGACCGTCCTCTAGAACCAGAATTCCTTGGAGTTCTTGACCGCCATGCTGAGGTAGACCGCCCAGGTAGTGATCTGGAAAGAGATTTAGACTGCCTGTAAGAGGATCGCCTGTGCCAAGGCTCTTTAAGGCTGTCTGAATGTCTCCTGTTTCTTCCCCATGAAGAACTTCTACTTCAAGTTCTCCTTTGACTGGGGCTGCTTGATCTTCTGTGATCAGCTGGAGGACAAGGATGTCATTCTTCTGACTTCATTTGGCCTGGTGCTCAATGTCACTTGATCTTGAACATTGACCTTTACTCTTTAGGACTTGCAAGATGGACTTTATGAGACACAGAAGCAACAAAATCAAACTTGGCTTTGACTCTGGAACTCTGACTGAATGCAGGAAAGCCAAAGACTCAGAGTTGGTTTTGTCTTTTGCCTGATGAAGACATCCCCTCTTTCAGGTCTTTGTATCTGTGTCCACCCTCCCTCTTTACTTCTTGATGGTTGAACTTCAGGTGTCTTTTGTCTCCCCTGCCCGGTTTATGATTGGATTCTAACTAACAGGTTGGTTCAAGCTGCGGATGCTTGCCAGCTACTGTGGACTGCTTTAGATTTTCTGGTGGCATCTACAACATTCCTGACAAACAGGGAGGTATCGGGGGGCCCTTGTGTAGCGAGACGTGGCCACTCCCTACCTACCCTCGGGTCCCACTCGGTCTTTCGCTGCCGCCACAGCAAAATGGCTGCTGGTGCAAGTTTTTCAAGATATTAAAATTTGTGAAGTTATACCTTGATTACCCAGAATCATATTCTAGTCCAGTTAACACTACTTTCTTTCTTTCTTTTTTTTTCCTCCTCTTAACTTTTCTTCAATGCCTCTGCTGGGGGCTTCTTCTTTTCATAAACATAGTTCAGATCATTTTCCTCCCCTCCTCACACACCTCCAAATATCTCCGATGAAGAGATGAAGAGCTAGAAGCCTTTGGTAACAGTCGAACACCTCTCCGAACGCATTTCCAGCAGCTCTCTTCTCTCACTCCCCAGTTCCAGCCATGACAGCACCTCGCAGCTTTTCTAATGTGCTCCAAATGTATGCAGGGAGTTGGTGTGCACTGTTTTCTCTGGCTGGAATGCGCTTCTGCATCCCTTGGCACACTTGGGTCCTTGCACAAATGTTACCTTCTCAGAGAGGTCCTGGTTGGCCACTCTTTAAAACAATGCCACCACCCCTCCCACTCTGCCGTATCGTTTCTTTCCTAAAAAACAAGGGTGTTCTTGTTGTTTCTCGGTGTGATGGCCTGTGCTACGCCATCATGACACATGGGACGAAATGCAAACTTGTTACAAAGCCCACCCCACGCCCTGCGTTATGTCATTCCATTCGACTTACCACCTGTGACACAGAGTAGGAGCATCTTAGTCTATCTGCTCCACTAGAATTAAACTGAGCAGAGAGAGACCATGCTCTGTTTTTGTTTCTTCCTTGCTCTGTTTTGTAGTTACTGAACAATGAGACAAATAATGCAGGATTATTATCCACCCTGTTCTCACGGATGGGCTCTGAGGATTCCATGGACTGATGTGACGGGTCCCACGTTAGCCACCAAGTTATGTGATACAAAAGCAGCAGCATCTATTAAGGAACAGAATGGGGCCCAGACTGTAAGGTGAGAATCAGGATGGGTGTTCTCAGAGGCTGATGTGGGAAGTGACCAGATTCACTAGGAACTGGGAAGTCATCACAGGTGAGGCATCTTCTGTTGTCGTCAGGGACGTGAAGGACAGCCAGACAGCAGGGATGTAGTTTTGCCAAGGAGTAGAGGGCTGAAGCTGTCACAGGCAAGCACCAGCCAACTCTCCCCAAGCTCAGTTTTTATTAGATGCATGCACAATACTTCCATGAGAATAAACAGTTAGTTCCTTACAGATTATCTCTAGAAAAGCATTAGAAAATATTTTTTATGAACACCTGGCTCTAGTTATTCATATACTTTCTCAAAACAGACTGTTCCCAGAATGTTATCGGATGGTTCTCATGACCGTTTGCAGGCTTGACCTTCTGAGTTGTGGCTCCGTGTGCAGAACCACAACTGCAGTTCCTATTCCAATCCGTGTCCCACTGTAATCTTCTCCTCTACAATCCTGCCCTTCCTGTAACCTACCACGCTGCATCTGACCTTGCTAACAGACCAGGCAGGCTGAATGGACAAAAATTTCCTAACCCTAAGAATCAGTACAAGAGTGTATTAGGCACCAGGAACAGAAACAGTTGCCAACACACACGGTGTACAGTAGCCACCAACGGCAGCACACTAGTCCCGCATTCCAAGACTTTTCGTAAGACCATCAGTCTATACCACGCCGTGACAGCCCACTGCTGGGGAAGAACAAGAGGAACTGCACCCAATACTTCAGTGTGGCTCCATCTGGGCACTGCCATCCTGGCCCCACCACAAAGGAACAAGGGAATAGCACAGTCTCGGTCTTCCGGAGCAGAGCTGTGATAAGATCTAACGGGCACCTTCCAGGTATGGAGGCCAAAAACATGCAAACAATGGAATTTAGAGACTGCAGCAGTGAGCCGCTCGACCTCCCCGACGAGGATATGCTCTGTGTCCAGCTTTGGGAGGGTCACCAGCGGTCAGCTTCAGGGCCCCTTTCGGGCTGCCTTGTGGAAGATCACATCCTCCCCGTGTGGCCCATGTCCAGTGACTGACAGCAATGGGGGTATAAAGCTACTGCACAGCTTATACCTTGCAAGTTCTGATTCCAGAATTAGTCATCTGTTTATTCTCCATTTTCCTGTTTTTTTGTAATGACCTACTTTTAATTATTTATGCATTTAGATAGCTTTTAATGTTTCCAGTAGTCTAAGTCTCCTTAACTGAGCTTTTTCAAAAATCTATTGCTTGTCCTCACTAGTCTCAGTTTCTACTGGGTTTGCATGAAGCATTTCAATTAAATT